GCAGGGAGAGGACCCAGGCCCACGTGGCTGCACCTGACGAGTGACACAGGAGGAGGAGCCGGTGCCCACATGCGCACGCCTGGACGAGTGATGGTGAGAGGGAAGCCGGGGCCCACGTGGCGCATCTGACAGTGACGTGGGAGAGGGAACCTGGGACCACGTGGCTGAGCCTGACAGTGACGCGGAGAGGGACGCTGGACCACGGGCCCTGAGCTGACAGTGAGACGTCGGGAGAGGGACCTGGGACCACGCCGAGCCCTGACAGTGCCCGCCGGGAGAGGGAGCCGGGCCCTGCAGCACTGAGCTCGTCCTCACTGGGCACCATGATTTCCTGGCCAAGCCTCTGCCACCCTCCATGGCAGCTGTGGCACCCAGGCCTGTGGACTCAGCCCGACCCCACTCATGAGACTCCCGTCAGGTTAAAGGGAGCACAGGGTTTCAAATGACCCAGTGCGTGGTCGTTTCACCTCTGGGAACAAGGGGAGGACATTCTGCCTTCACCCTTGGCACCCTTGGGAAACGCTCCTTTGCAGACCCCGAGCCCCCGACCCTCGGGATGTGCAGCTTCCCCGTGTCCCACTGGACCCTGGGTCTCAAGGCAGAGCCTGACCACAGCCTCCGGGGTCAGCCCCACCAACCCCGGCCCCGACCTTGGGCGCCTCCCCCGTTCCTGGCCTCCGGGGCGTCCCGGGCTGGGCGGGGCCGACTTACTCAAGGACGGAGTGCGTGGCCGCCCGCGGGTGGTATCGGTACAGCAGGAGGCTCTGGTCCACGCGGATGACGCCGCCGCCCTTCCTGAGGTGCTCGTAGAAGAACAACAGGTCCTCCGGGACGCCCTGGAGGGTGGGAGCAGAGGCATCACCGGGGCGGGAAACCCGTGCCTGCCCCAGATGCACCTATGCTCAGCTGGCCAGCCCGGGACTGGTGGAAAGGCTTTTGTTGCAAAGAAGCCAGTTTAGAGGCTCAACAGGGACATGAGGTGGCGACCCCAACAGAGGTGAGCAACTGAGCTTCTCCACAGGCGGGAAAGAGGGGAAGGGAGGGTGTGCTGGTTCTCGGTTCTGCCCCAAATTCCATTTTGGGCAGCAAAGGTCTCAGGGCAAAGCGGACGACAGGCGGCCGAGGAAAGGGGCTGGGCGGGTCCGGGTCTTGCAGCTGTGGATCCTGGATGGCTTGTCCGGTCTCCGTCCCCGCCCTTTCCTGCCAGTGGCTGCGGCCCCAGAAGCTTCAGGGACTCAAAGTGCCGACTGTGGGCAGAGCAAGGTGGTGCTGGGTGGGCGCGAGGGGCTGCACGCAGGGGAGCCCAGCAGTGGGGAGGCAGCCCCGGGCCTGTGCCAGCCCCGCTCACTTGTCCACACTCAGAAACTTGAACCTCAGCCCACGGGGCTGATCCACGAACATCTCCATGTCAGTGGGGACTCTGCTCTGGAACATTCTGCAGGCATTCCCACCAGACTTTTCTGTCCTGTGAGAACCTGGGCCCTCCTTCCCCCGGCCCATCATCCCAATGGCCCCTGCCCTCTGCTTGCTCCTCTCCTGGGCAGACCCATCCTCAGCCCAGGGCTGTGGCCGAGCCGTAGGTCCGTCTGGGGCCGGCTCTGGGCCTTGTGCAGAACTGGGCCCCTGTTGTTTCCTTAAATTCAAACATAAAACTGGGGGAGGAGCAGGGCGTGGAGTCTGGTCTCCTCGTGGTTCTCTGCTGCAGCTCAGCTGGGTCAGCTGCCCAGAGACACCTTTGCTCCAGGAAAGGGTGGGCTTTCTGACAGCCTAGCAGCAGGGCCAGTCTGTTACTAAGTCCAGCCTCTTCTCTCCTTGGCTGGCACTCAAACTTCAAGTGCAGGTCAGTAAAGGTCCCAAAATATCACGGCCCAACCGCTGGCCTGTTTGCTCCCAGGACAGACAGGCAGTGCTGCGCTTCCGCGTCCAACAAAAATGCACTATTTAACCTCCGCCTCCGCAGGGCAATACCTTTTATGAAAACCACGGTGACATGGAAAGATTTGTAAGAAGATGCTGAGTCAAAGAACAGACCTCAAAATCATGTGTACAGCTCTGCTAAAAGTTTATCCACCATAAGGTAAAGACAAAGGAATCACAGAAGCCCACGTGCTACCTCACATGGGTGAATCAGGGTGGGGCTCCCGCGGGTGCCGGTGGACACGGACCCTCACACGGGTGATTCAGGGTGGGGGCTCCCGCGGGTGCCGGTGGACACGGACCCTCACACAGGTGATTCAGGGTGGGGGCTCCCGCGGGTGCTGGTGGACACGGACCCTCACACAGGTGATTCAGGGTGGGGCTCCTGCGGGTGCCGGTGGACACGGACCCTCACACGGGTGATTCAGGGTGGGGCTCCTGCGGGTGCCGGTGGACACGGACCCTCACACGGGTGATTTAGGGTGGAGGTTCCCATGGGTGCCGGTGGACACGGACCCTCACACGGGTGATTTAGGGTGGGGGCTCCCGCAGGTGTCGGTGGACACGGAGCCTCACATGGGTGATTTAGGGTGGGGGCTCCCGCAGGTGTCGGTGGACACGGATCCTCACACGGGTGAATCAGGGTGGGGCTCCCGCAGGTGCTGGTGGACACAGACCCTCACAGGGGTCACTGAAGTATTTTCTCTAATTTTCTGTGTTTTCAAAGGCAGCTCTAAAGAGCATCGGAACTCTGAACACGTTATAGGTTTAGAAAGACAAAAACGGCTTCTCTCTTCCTATCACCAGGAAGAACCTGACCCTTGGGGTTTTCTTATTTTCTGGCAGTAAAGTGAGAATTTAGTTAACAGCAGCTCCTGGGTGGTGCTTCTGCCCTGGGAGGAGGGGGACTCAGCGGGTCTGTCCCACTTTTCTCTCCCCTCCCCCGATTGCTGCTGCTGAGACCTGAGGACCCAAAATGGCCTCACTCCTCCCCCTGGCTTTTCCCAATCACCCTCCAGGTGCCTGGACTGCCCTGTGGTGTGCAGGGAGAGGGGATGCGTCACTACCCAGAAAGGCATCAGGGAAATGCCGAGAGCGGAGGAAGTGTGGCTGCCCAGCCCCAACCTGCTCACAGAACCGTCCCGGGCAGCCTTTGGGGATGGAGCACCCAGAACTTCCTGGAGGAGGAGAGCGCGAGCTAAAGCCACTCCCAGGAAGGCCGGGCCAGAGGCTCTGGAGGCTCCAATCCTGAGAGGCAAAAGGAAGCCGAATCAGGGACAAGCTTCCTTCTCCAGAGCCCGTCCTCAGCGCCGCGCGCCCTTCCCCAGAGCCCCGTCCCCAGCGCCGCGCGCCCTTCTCCAGGGCCCCGTCCCCAGCGCCGCGCGCCCTTCTCCAGGGCCCCGTCCCCAGCGCGAGCCTCCAGGAGGAAGCAGCAGTCACCACGCGGGGACAGACGGGGAGAGCTCCAGCCCGGGCCCAGCAATCAGAGTCCGTGGGCCACAGCACCAAACCAGCAGAGAAAACTAAAAACTGGAAACGCTTCCATGGGTAAAAATTCAGCCTGTCCCCCACAGCAACAACAAACCTCCAAACCAGGAAACAGACTCCCGTGAACAACCCGCCAAGATAAATTCCACACCCTCCACCAGTGTTTCAGGCTACGGGGTGGGGTGTGCGGGGAGGTGGCGGAGACCCATCTTGAATCAGAAATTCAAGGACTAAGTGCAGAACTGGACCCTAATGGGGTGCGTCTAAATAGAGCATTGAGGAAAGTGCGTTAGTGCTTGGCCGGGGCTGGCAGGGGGCGGATGAGGCGCACCTCTGGGTACAGGAAGTGCTTTTTGGGGAATGACCATGTTCTAACATCAGATGGTAGTGGTGACTGGTGATTGCACAGCCCTATAAATTTGCTAAAAAACAATGAATTGCACATTTTAATAGGTGAATTGTATGGCATATGAATTATACCTCAATGAAGCTTTTATATAAAATTGGGTCGATTAAACTAAAAAAAGAAATTTTAAGAACAGAGAAAATTGGCTGGGCGCGGTGGCTCACGCCTGTAATCTCAGCACTTTGGGAAGCCGAGGTGGGCGGATCACGAGATCAGGAGATCGAGACCATCCTGGCTAACACACTGTGAAACCCCATCTCTACTTGAAAAAAAAAAAAAAAAAAGAGAGAGACACAAAATGGGTTGGGTGTGGTGGCTCATGCCTTTAATCTCAGCACTTTGGAAGGCTGAGGTGGGGGGTGGATTGCTTGAGCCCAGCAGTTCGAGACCAGCTTCGGCAACATGTCAAAACCAGTCTCTACCAAAAATGAAAAAAGTAGCTGGGTGTGGTAGTGTGCACCTGTAGTCCCAGCTACTTGGGAGGCTGAGATACAAGGATTGCTTGAACCTGGGAGGCAGAGGTTGTAGTGAGCTGAGATTGAGCCACTGCACTCCAGCCTCAGCAACAGAGTGAGACCCTGTCTCCAAAAAAAAAGGAACAAAATATATGAAAAATGAAGGCTAAATTACAAGATCCTTAAGAGAAAATAGATTTTAATTAAAAATGTAATAAGGGACATTGAAGAAAGGAAAATAGAAATTATATAATGAAGTGAAAAGGTAAGTTAGAAAGACTAAGAAAATCTTACCTATGTGGAACTGGAGTCTTTAAAACAAAACAAAACAAAACAAAACCCACAATGGACAGAGCTAGTATTTAAAACCGCAATCCAAGAAAAATTTCCAGAAATGAAAGCAGATTTGTTTCTACACACTGAAAAGCACCATCAGGTCAACCTGAAGGCAGATCCTGGTGAAACTATTAGACTTCAGCAATAAAAAATAATTCTCAGAGTCTCCAGGCAAAAAGGTCACAAAACTTACAAAGGCAAGATTCACTGTGCACCGGACTTCCCAAAACAGTCACACGAAGTGGCGACAGACAGCGCACGGACCAAGAACTTCCCGCACAGCCAGAGGCTTCCTCCAGCCTCAGGCTCCAGGAACCCAGTTCTGACGAGCGCGGCCTCACAGAGAGCTGTGGCTCCAGCCACACGGGGACCAGACACCCGGCCAGCCGCGGCGGTGGACGCCGGATGTGACTGCAGGTGGGAGACTACGGGACAAGGGTGCAAGACTAGTATGTGGATGTTCGTCCTCGGACCTAAGTAGAAACCGTGTAACAAAAGGGCCAGGGCGGTGGCTCACCCCTGTCATCCCAGCACTTTGGGAGGCTGAGGCGGGTGGATCACGAGGTCAGGAGTTCAAGAGCAGCCTGGCTAAGATGGTGAAACCCTGTCTTTACTGAAAATACAACAATTAGCCAGGCGTGGTGGCGGGCGCCTGTAATCCCAGGTACTCGGGAGGCTGAGGCAGGAGAATGGCCTAAACCCGGGAGGTGGAGCTTGCAGTGAGCTGAGATCCGGCCACTGCACTCCAGCCTGGGCGACAGAGCGAGACTCCGTCTCAAAAAAAAAAAAAAAAAAAAAGGAGGACAGGAGGACAGGACAGGAGGACGGGAGGACAGGAGGAGGGGAAAAGGAAAAAAAAATAGGAAACCAACAATCTTATTGACTGTTGTGTGGGCAACATATGGGGGATTCAAGGTGTTTAGAAAAGGGTTAAGTACACAGATAACCACTAGACCAAAATGCAAACCTTCAATGTGCAGAGAAATTTAAAAAGTCAAAAGCAGGTGATGGCTCCAGGCTGTCCGTGGCTGAGCAGCCAGCACCTTCAGAGGAGACTGTGTGCGGCCAGAGCCTGGGGAAGTGGTGCTGCAGGGGTAAGGAGGGCAAGGAGGGCAAGGAGGGCAAGGAAACCCAAAGTCCCGGCCTGGAGGGGCTGAGGGCAGAATCCGGGACAAGCAGTGCACCTGGGGGCAGCGGTGGTCCCAGACAGAGAGACCACAACGGGAGGGAATATTCACAAAGTAAACGTCCAGCAGGAGCACCCGCAATCCAACAACGAGAAGACAACAGGCCGATGAGCCGGACACACCACAAAATAACACAGAAGCTGCCCGTCACCACGTGAGATGTCCTTCAACATCGTTAGCCATCTCGAAGTGCAGAATGAAAGCACAGTAGGAAACCACGAACTCCAACTAGAACAGGCAACGTTAAAAAGTTGACAACACTAGCCAGGCGCAGTGGCTCAGGCCTGTAATTCCAGCACTTTGGGAGGCCGAGGCAGGTGGATCACCTGAGGTCAGGAGTTCGAGACCAGCCTGGCCAACATGGTGAAACCCGTCTCCACTAAAAATACAAAAAGTCAGGTGTGGTGGTGCATGCCTGTAATCCCAGCTACTGGGGAGGCTGAGGCAGGAGAATCGCTTGAACCCGGGAGGCGGAGGTTGTGGTGAGCCAAGATTGCATCATTCCACTCCAGCCTGGGAGACGAGAGAGAAACTCCATCTCAAAAAAAAAAAAAAAGTTGACAACACCAAGGTCTGGCGAGGGGCTGGTGAAGAGTTTGAGGGACAGGAAACTTGTCATGCAGACGGCAGGGACGGGGGCCCAACAGCGGCGCCCGGGGGACCTGTCTCACAAAACCGAACACGCGCCTGGCCTCGCTTGCGTCCAACCCTAGGAACGTGCCCCACAGACAGGAAAACGTCTGAAGCGTGGCTGTTGTGCCGGGTGGTGGTTTGAGTCCTTCCTGTGGCAGTGATAAGCTTCCTTCAGGCCAGACCTGCCCTCAGAAACCTGTTTTCACTTTGTCTCATTTTGTTAGAAATGGGGTTTCCTGGTGCTGCCCAGGTTGGTCTTGAACTCCTGGCCTCAACCGGTCCTCCTGCCTTTGCCTCTTGTGCTCATGGGACTACAGGCATCAGCCCCTATGTCCGGCTATAAACCTGTTTCGAACCAAGAAAACATCAGGTTTTTTCTTATTTAAGGGCCTATGATGGTCGCCCACAGAGGACTCCCTACCAGAGGTGGGTGCCTTCAGGCGCTGCCACGCCCACCTCCAAATCTCAGACTCGCCTGCCCTCCCATCCTTCCTCTGTGAACGCAGAAGTGGATGCACTTTCCAGTCAGGAATCTCCCTGTCTTGCATGTTTCAGCTCCTGGCAACCGTTTCTGCAGCCCCCTTGGCCCTGGCTTGGCCTCCCAGTCTGGCTGCCTCAGGGTCCGCACCACCCACGTCCACCCGGTTGGTCCCCTGCTGTTCTGGCCGCCTGCCCTTCAGCTGCTCCACCCCGGGGCCCACAGAGAGAGAGCTGAGGATCAGCCCCACACCGAGCGTCTGGCTCAGGGCGCCCTGTGACTTCTGCTCTTCTCATTTCTCTGGAGAGGACTTGGCAGAAGCCAAGGAAACACTGTCCATCCCCGTCTCGGTGGCCGACACTGCTGTTGTCCCTGTCACCCGAGGCCTCCTCAGGCCCCAAAGCCCTCACTTGCTCCAGCCATGGCCCCATCACAGCTCTAATCCCTGAGCCCCAGGCCCTGGCCCCTAGCCCTGATCCCTGGTCCTGATCCCTGGCCCCTAGCCCTGATCCCTGGTCTCTGGTCCTGATCCCTGGTCTCTGGTCCTGATCCCTGGTCCCCAGCCCTGATCCCTGGTCTCTGGTCCTGATCTCTTGCCCCTAGTCCTGACCCCTGGCCCTGGTCCCTGGCCCCTGGCCCTGATCCCTGGTCCCTGTCCCCTGGCTCTGATCGCTGATCCCTGACCCCTGGCCCTGATTGGTCCCTGGCCCTGATCCCTGACCCCTGGCCCTGATCGCTGATCCCTGGCTCTCATCCCTGGCCCCTGGCCCTGATCGCTGATCCCTGCCTGGCCCTGCTCTCTGGTCTCAGAACAACGGAGGGATGGGCTTTTCCTTGAGGAGCTCCCCATCCAGGCTGTGGCCTCATGCACTTCTGAATCCTGAGGCTGCTCGGCCACGGTTCAAGGATGATAAGATCCTGAAATCAGGCCGGATGTGGTGGCTCCTGCCTGTGATCCCAGTGCTTTGGGAGGCTGAGGCGAGCGGATCACTTGAGGCCAGGAGTTTGAGACCAGCCTGGCCGAACATTGGTGAAACCCGTCTCTTGACTAGAAAAATACAATAAATTAGGCACGGGCGTCGGTGCGGGGGCTGTAATCCAGGCCACTCGGGAGCTGAGGCAGGAGAATCGCTTGAACCCAGGAGGCAGAGGTTGCAGGGAGCTAACACCACTGCACTCCAGCCTGGGAGACAGAGAGAGACTCGGTCTCAAAAAAAAAAAAAAAAAATCCTTAAATCAGTGTTTCCCATGGAACATCTTCTGTTAACCATTTCCCACACAGCTTCCTGCCGGCCCCAGCGATGGCCGCGCTTCCTGGCCGCACCTGCTTGGGGCTACACCCACCGCCATCCGTGTCCTGGAGATTAACTATGGGGAGCTGCAGGCTGAGAGCCTGCCCCACCCGAGAAAACACGGCTCTGCCCCGTCTGCACCCCAGAGACCTGGACCATGAGGGACACCCAGGCCAGGGTCCGAGGTAGCGGGGCAGTGGGGACCCTGGTGTGGCCAGGCCCACGTGAGGCTCCATGTGGCCCCTGTGAGCTGCTGAGCGCCTGACCCTGTTGTCCCGATGAGGAAGCCGAGGCTCAGGGCAGGACAGACGAACCTGGTCCCTGTCACAAGAGTAGGAGCTGGAGGCTAAATCTTAGTCACTGGCCTGGGGTCTCTGGACCCCCCAGGAACCCTGTGCCAGGACCCTCCACTGGTCTCTGTGTCCAGTCTCCCTGCAACTAGAGACCAGCATGGGCAAATGTGGCCAGCTCTCTGCTGGTGACACCCCAGCCCTGGACTCCTCAGTCCCCACAGGGAGGCAGAGGCTAGAGCGGCCCGGTCTGGACATGGATGCTTTCAGGCGCACCCTGACAGGGAGGACAGGAAACATGGACGCCTGCAGGTGCACCTCGGAGGGGAGGACGGGGACACAGACGCCTGCAGGCGCACCCCTGAGGGGAGGACAGGCAACATGGACGCCTGCAGGTGCACCCCCCACGGGGAGGATGGGGACACAGACGCCTGCGGGTGCACCTCGGAGAGGAGGACGGGGACACGGACGCCTGCAGGCGCACCCTGACAGGGAGGACAGGGACACAGATGCCTGCGGGTGCACCCTGGTGAGGAGAATGGGCTCCTCTTCTTCCTCTATCGTCCCAGAGACAGCTCTGCAAACAGCTTCTGTGTCCTGTGCTTTCCCACACACAGCTTTTAAACCAGGATGGTCACCTGGAGCCACTGTAGGTCAGGTGCAGATGCTCGGGGCATCCACAGCCTTCACGCAGAAACCCCCTGCTTTCAGCAAAGCAACTGAGATGCTGGCGGGTGCCAGGAGGGGCACCAGGAGGGGCACCGGGAGGACCCTCGGGGCAGGGGTTTCCTGAATCTCCAGAGCCCTGGAGGCATGGCAGAGCGGAGGGTGGCCAGTGTGCGGAGCCCACACACAGAGGACAGGGACCCAAGCCCGGGGGAGGGACCCGATTCCCGCCTCTCGGCCCTTACCTGACCTCCCTCGTCAAAGGGGCCCACGTGGGAAAACCACGCCCGCGAACAGAACCAGGTGGGCATGATCACCGTTGGACCATTTGCGGTGAAAACCTAGGAGCAATTAACGTTGACAGAGTTAGCAGAAAACAACAGTTTGTCACAAACAACCTACAGTTTATTTCCACAAAGTGTCACGAGACAGTGACAGACGAATCCGTGTCCCTTCTCCATAGGGACAGGGGCTCAAGGGGCTTCATGACAGAGCTGACGTGTCTGGGCCCCACGGCTGAGAGATGAGGGGAGGAGGCAAGGGGAGACCAGCGGCCAAACCCAGTCCCACCTGCAGGCCTCACTCCCGAGCTCACTGGCTGTGCCTCACCAAAAGGACTCCTCTCTGCTTCTGATAGACGGAAAAGTTTTCTGTGGAAATCCAAAGTAAACATGCTCCTTTTAATCAGGAGAAAACCATGAAATAGCATAAAAGGATACGGAGAATAATGAGATAACTTGGATGAAACACACGAGTCCTAGAAAGATGTAAACCATGAAAACTGACTCAAAAAGAAATAGAAAATATGAATCACTAATAAGTAAGCGGCAAGAGAAGACCCCACAAAGAAAAGCCCAGCGCCAGATGGCTTCCCTGAATTCTAGCAAATGTGCAAAGAATTAATACCAATCCTTCAAACTCTTCCAAAAGTAGAGGAGGAGGGAACGCTTCCCAGACGATTCTGAGGCCACCACTACCCTGACACTAAAGCCAGACAAAAATCCTACAGGGAAACAACAGGCCGACACCCCTTGTAAATACAGAGGCAAACGAAAAAACCCCAGCAAATGGACTCCATCCTAGAGAAAGGACCCACCACGGCTGAGTGGACTCACCTCACGACTGTAAACATGGGTCAACATACGAAAATCAGCGGAATCCACCAACCACATTAATGCAATGAAGGTCCAAACCCACATGATCATCTTAATAAATTCAGAAAAACCACCATTCCTTGATAACACTATCCAACTCTGGGACAGAAGAGAGCTTCCTTCATCCGATGAAGGGCACTTACAAAATCCCCACAGCCAAGGTCACACTTCAGTGGTAAATACCGAAAGCTTCCCCTAAGGTCAGGGACAAGAACATCTCACCACTTCTACTCCACACCGTGCTGGGGGTTCTCGCCGGAGCGGCTTGGCAAGAAAGCAAAACAGTATCCAGCTTGGAAAGGAAGCAGTCAAACCGTGCCTGTGTGCAGACGGCATATGCTCCCGTGAGTGGGAAACCCGGGGTAATACAGATAATACACACACTTACACACACGCACACACACACAGACATGCACACATGCACTCACATTCACATGCACACACACAGACATGCACACATGCACTCACACACACAGACACGCACACACATGCACATGCATACACAGACGCACACACATGCACTCACACATGCACATATGCACACACAGGCACACAGACACGCACAATGCTTTCGCACACATGTACACACATGCACTCACACGTACACACGCACACATGCACTCACACATGCATACAGACATGCACAATGCACTCACACATGCAGACATGCACACATGCACTCACTTGCCCACACGCATACATTCTCACACATGCACACACACACACGTGCAGTCAGATGCACACACACATGCACTCACAGACATTGCACACACATGTACTCATACACACACTTGCCCACACACATTCTCACACATGCGCACACACTACACAGATGCATGTACACACATGCACTCACACACGACATCTCACATGCATCTCACATTCTCACACATGCACACACATGCATGCAGTCACGAACGTACTTACATGCACTCATACACTTGTGGACACAAACTCACAGACACGCATACATACACACTCAGACACACTCGCACACACTCTCACATGCACAGGCTTTGTTTCATTTCAGATCATTTGTATTTCTGTATCTTCAAGTTCACAACATTTTTCTTCTGTAATGTCTAATTTACTGTTAATTCCATCCTGTGTATTTCTTATCACAGACATGGTAGATTTCATCTCTATTAGTTTCATCTGAGTCTTTTTCATATCTCCATTTATCTACATAAAATGTTCAATTTTTCCTCAATCTTTCTGAACATATAAAATACAGTAAGTGTTTTAATATACGTGTCTGCCACACACTTGTTAGGATTAACACAAATTTAAAATGTTTCTCATTATAGGTTGCATTTTCCATCTTCTTTGCGTGTCTGACTTATTCATTTTTATTGCAAGGCAGACATTGTGAGTTCTATCTTGTTGGTGCTGGGTATTTTTTGTGTCATATAAACATTCTTGAACTTTGTCCGGGGACACAGTCACTTGGAAACAGTCTGTTCCTTTTGGTTCTTCCTCCCAGCATCGCCAGGTCAGGCTGCAGCATCATTTGGTCCAGGGCTGACTGCTCCCAGTCCCCTGCATTCACACCCAGTGCCTGCGGACTGTGAGGGTCCCAGTGCAGTGGAGCTCTGGGCGCTGTCCCTCTGATCTTTTCAGGGGCTTCTTTTCCTGGCCTCAGGAAGTTTCTTCACACACTGGTGAGTACTGGGTTTTAGGAGGTGGTGCCTCTGTTTTCCCCTCTGGGATCTTTCTGCCTCTGTCGGGGTGGGAGGCTGTCAGCTACATGGTCCTTCATTACCCTAACGTGACTTAGAGACGAGACACTGTGCAATGCCTTGGGCTTCTTTTTAATTACTTGAAAGGGGAAAAACATAGATTTGAAAAGTGACAAAAAGAGAACAGAGAAAAAAATTACGGAATAAAAGTTTAAAAACATTCATAATGAAAGGAGAAACCACTAAGGCAGGAATACAAATTAAAATCAAGACTCCCTGTTCCTCTTGTTTCTATTTTTTAATTTTTGTGGGTACACGGTAGGTGTAATCGTTAAGAGTCACTGATTCTTAAACTCACTTTTCCTCGAAGAAAGGAAATATTCCCAAACATTTTTTGGAACTGTGCTGGAATCCTCTGTAAAGGGGCGGGAGTGAAGTTAAACTGTCATGAATTCTACAGGGAAAAAGCCAAGAGTTTTCCATTTAATGTCACACATATCCGGTGACTTCCTGTCTGGACAGAGCTAGGAAGCAGAAGGCACCAAAACACGCCAGTGGCCACGACGGTCAGCTCACCCCACCCCGGTGAACCTCGGGCCCGACGTGGCCCCAGCCTGTGGAAAAGCCAAGCCCTGCACGCGTTGTACCGAGAGCTGCCTCGTCCCCGCCCGCGAGCCGCGGGCTCGTGCTCCTGCTGGCTTTCCACAGCCACACTCTGCTTACCGAGCGGGTCCTCACCCTTACTGTGCGTCTGATCCCTGGGAGGCCTGCGGCTCCATCGAGGTGCCTGACCCGCGCTCAGTGATGCTCTGGGCCGCTACCCAGGATCTGGTGAGATCCTTAGCAACCGTGTTAAGAGCTCTGGGGAGAAAGATCACCACAAAATGCAGAGCGCAGAACTAAACAGAAGAGCTAAAACTATAAAACTCTAGAAGAAAACATACGGGGAAAACGTCCTGACATTGGATTTGGCAATGATTTCTTAGATGTCACAAAAGTACAGGTAACAAACAACAACAACAAAAACAACCGGATAAACAGGAGTATACCAAAATTTAAAACTTCTGTGCATCAAAGGACACGTTAAAAAGACTGAAAAAGTAGTCCACGGAATGGAAGAAAATATTCGCAAACCATACATCTGATAGAGGTTAATATCTAGAATATATAAAGAATTCCTATAGTTCAACAACAAAAAACAGCCCAATAATAAACATGGGCAAAAGACTTGAACAGACATTTCTCCAAATAAGATATACAAATGGGCAATAAGTACACACAGAGACACTGAACGTTACTAATGATTAGGGAACCGTAAATTGAAACCACAGCGAGATACCACTTACGTCCATTCGGAGGCTACTATCAAAAAAACAGAAAGCAACACCTGTGCGTGAGGACGTGGAGAAACGGGAACCCTCACGTGTTGCTGGTGGGAATGCAACACGGCATAGCCGCGATGGGAAAACAGTGTGGTGGCTCCTCAAACAATTGCACATAGAATTACCATAGGATCCGGCAATTCTGCTTCTGGGTGTGTGACCCCAAAAAGTGAAAGCAGGGTCTCCAAGAGCTCTTCATACACCCACATTGCCGGCAGCATCATTCACAGTAGCCAAAGGGAGGAAGCAGCCCCAGCATCCGCTGACAAATGAATAAACAAAGTGTGGTCTCTTCAGCCTCCAAAGGGAAGGAAGATCTGACACTTGCTAGGACAGGGATGAACCCCACGGACACTTGCCGAGCGACATACGGACCCCGAGGACGCCGTGCTGACGTATGGACCCCGAGGACGCCGTGCCAACATATGGACCCCGAGGACGCCGTGCCGAGCGACGTACGGACCCCGAGGACGCCGTGCCGAGCGACGTACGGACCCCGAGGACGCCGTGCCGAGCGACGTGTGAAGCCTGAGGAGACTGTGCTGAGTGAAATTCGCCGTCACACAGATGCGAATACTGCATAATGCCACTTCTATGAGGTCCCTAGAGTCGTCACATTCACAGAGAGTGGAGGCCTCCCGGGGCTGGAGGGAGGGAGACAGGGCTTCAAGGGGACAAAGTTTCAGCCTGGGACGATGAAAAAGTTCTGGACAGCAGCGGTGTGTACACAGTAATGTACATGTACTTAACGCCACTGAACTGTACGCTCAAAATGGTTAAGATGGTACATTTTATTCTATGTGTATTTTATCATCGAAAATAAAAATAATTTTAAAAATGCCAACAGCAGTTGTGGTACTAACCTCAACCCATCCCCCCAGGACCTTCCCAGGAGACCCCCACTCTCCTCCACTGCCCCGAACAGCAGCCTGTCTCCTGTCCAGCCATGAAGAAGCTCGACCTTGCCCAGTAGTTGACGGCCACTGTGGGGAGCCCCTCAGCCACCCAGACCCCGTCTTTGGGCCTCCCTGGGAGCACAGAAGGGGGGCTGCACCCTCCGGTGGCCAAGCCCAGGTCCTTCCCATGTGGTCTCTGAGGAGCAGGGGTCCCCGGCTTGACTCTCCTT